ATTTAATTTAAGTTTAATAATGAAATAATTTATTTTTGGTTTAATAATATAACATTTTATAAAGATAATACTTAAGTATTTTGTTAGAACTCAATGATTATCCTAATTATATTTTAGATTTTTTATATTTAAAATTATATGTTTATACTGTATTTGATTGTGTTTATCTGTAGTTAGTTACACGAATTCAGTTATGGGATGAAATCGGATAGGGATGAAATTGTTTAGGGATGAATGGGTTTAAGAGTTTTAAGAGTTTAAGAGTTTTTAAGAGTTTTAGGCAAATGCTTTATAATATAGTATAGATATAGAGAGAGAGAGAGAGAGAGAGATCGGATTCAAACGAGAACGGTACCTATTTAAGAGAATAAGAAAACGGTCAAATCACATGTGATTTTACACTAACATCACGTACAAAATAATATGTGATTCACACGACTTTACCCGACAACCTAAAGATGCGGGCCAAAGTTGCCCGCACACCTTTTTTTACGGTTAATGTAAAATCACATGTGATTTTTGAACGTGATTTGGTCGTTTTCGTATTCTCTTAAATAGTTACTCCCCCTCTCTCCATATTGATCACATATAGGTTCTCATACAAATATCCATTACACCACCTTCGTCCAATTAAGATTAGGATCTGATAAAATGTCTAATAGTTAAAAGATAATTGCTCCACAAGCAATGATTAAGCTCTTAACTTTAATCTGCTAATTTGGATGAAAAATTGGACCAAAAATGATGTAATTGATATCGATCTTTTGGTGTATGCAGAGTGAAAAGAACATCACTTTTATCATTTTCTTGACATTAATTCCAATAACGACCCTTACCTTATGCTTCAAGGTAAAGCAAGCATCCCGTTGGCTTCTTTGAATCCTATTTTTGTAGTAATCTTTTTATCTGTAACGATCTTGGCATAGCACTTTGAAGTTTTCTGGAAAACCGTCACTTAGAAGCCAGAATTGCTGTCGCGTCTGGCTCACGAGCATGGTCGGGCAAGGGTTGTGACCCAACCGTCAGACTCTTAAGGTTTTCGGACATTTCTGCTTGAGAGGCCAAGTACTCGAGTGCAACAACAATATCACCGATCAGGGGCCGGAAATTTGCTTGCTCCTGGAGACACATTGCAGTTACAGCAACCACATGGTGCACTGAACGGACAGAGAAGCAGCCTTGCAATAAGGGGTCGACCAGCTGAACAAACTTCTTCCGGTCTTTCAAAAAGGGGCGAGACTGCATAAATTCAAATAAGATGCTATATAATGTGAGGACAATGTGTACAATCAGATAAAATGAAACCAAACCAAACCAAACCAAACCAAACCAAACGAGCTCAATGTAGGAGAATTTTTGGCGGATACAGGGAGTGTGGAGTCATGGATTACAATTAATAGGAGAATAATCTTTTGGTAGCCGTGGGTGTCAGGGCCAGCTTGCAGGCACCTCGACTAATATGACCACTGAAGATAACTGGCAAGAAAATCCATGGGCCCTGAAGATAACTGACAGGAAAATCTCATGGGCTTTGAAAATAAATGCAGGAAAATTCTGTGTGGGCCCAGAAGATAATTGACAGGAAAATCCTGTGGGCCCCGAAGATAACCGGCAGGAAAATCCCATCCCCGAAGATAACAAAAAGAAAAATCCCTAGTGACCCTGGGAGGCTCGATGGGACCTATAAGGAGCCCCAAGGCCTAACATTTATTTGCCGGCTGAGCTAGCCTGAAGGTTGTTTAATAGTAGAATTTGTGTTCAAAGAAGAAACTTACCCAAGGAACTAAATTTTGCTCTCCGGGTTTCTTGGTTATGTCAATTGCCCTACGTCCAGTGATCAGCTCCAACAAAACCACACCGAAGCTATATATATCAGACTTTAAAGTTAGTTTTCCACTCATTGCATAATCGGGGGCACAATAACCATAGGTACCCATAACTCGAGTTGACACGTGAGTGTTATCGCCAACAGGACCCAATTTAGCCAGTCCAAAGTCCGAAAGCTTTGGATTGAAGTCATTATCCAACAATATGTTTGAAGATTTTAAATCACGGTAAATTACAGGTGGATTTGCTTTGCAATGGAGATACTCGAGCCCACGAGCTGCACCAACAGCAATCTTTAGCCTCGTGTGCCAATCCAGTGGCTCCTGGCCAGGCTCTAGATCTGAAAATTATATATATCTGGTTAAAATTTACCCCAATATTTGATATACAAAATATCTATGGCACAGCGGTACCCAGATTACCAATAGAGTCCCGTCTCCAGGTCACAAACCCCTTTAAGATACCATGGGCCCTAAGAGAATTATTTAGCTTGCATTCATGTCTATGTTCTGAATGATAATTAATATGACTGTTTCCTGGTCAGGACGCAGGATTTGCAGGAGGGTCCTTGGTATCTCGTGTACTAAAATGCTCCCATTTAATTCTTCAACTGCTTGTGAACATTTATGTATCATGTGAAGTCACAAGAATCAAATGCAACATGTTATCCATGCAATGAATCAGTACTTATTTTCCAGAATCTCTAAGATTTTTCCCGTGACAGACAGATGAAGAATATGAATTCGCTTTCTTAAAGCATTTACATGATTAAAAAAAGTAAATGCAAGAAAGTCTATTATCCATTTATGTTTCTGTCAATGTACATCAAAATTTTCGCCTCTACCACTCCGTTTTTCAAACCACACAAAACCTCAAAATCATTTGTAATGTGTTTGGCACATAGACGGGACTGGACAGGGGAGAGTTAGGTACATGGGTAGTTTAGTAATTTACCAATCTTGTCCCATCTCCCTGATTTTTGTTCCACCTATTCACTCAGTCCTGTCCAGTCCCAATCTTAATGTCGCACCAAACAGGGGATTAACAACTTTTTGTTCTATTGTCCCGTCCTAAATGGTGCAAGTGAGTCAATGAGTTGTATGTCCAGATAGGGAAGATAAAAGACGCATATCATGTGCTTATAATACAAGCAGCAAAAACTACAATATTACTTCTATCAATTGCGCTGTTCTTAACCCATCAGGTTTAAAATCCTACAAATTTTCCAGGTTAAAAAGCTCGAAAACAAGCCATCAGCCAAGTGGGAATTGACCATCACTAACAGAGAAGGTAGTAATACCAGATAAAAGAAACAGAACAAAGGAGTAACAGAGTATAGCAAAGAGACAAACCACCACATACATGTTCTCCAAGAGTAAAGATAACGACTTTTTCTATCTTGTTAAATTCCTATCTCATTTATATATCACTAGTACCTTCAAACACAAACTTCTCGAACAAATGAGATTGGAATTCATAAAAAGACAATCTGATAATTAACAGGCACGCCTCAAAAAGCATAGTAATCATAGAAGTCGAAAGGAAAGAAGAAATGTTTGAAGTAAGATAGCAAGTCATAGAGAATAACAAGTACAACAAAAGATTAACACCAAAATTAACCACAAATGGCAGTTTGGTTTTTGTAGAAAATCAAAATTAGACCCAACCCAAGACATTAAATGACAGAATCTTTGAGCAACTGGTTCTATGTTAATTGGCAAAAATTCTGAGATTAGTTCTATAACAAGCATTTCTAATTCAAACCAAATGAGTGCCAGTGGTAGGATTTCTTTCTGTAAAGTAGAAGATCAAAGGCGTAAGTACACCACCGGGTTCAAACAGAAAGTAGTCTGAATTGAAATAAATCTGAGGCCTACCAAAAAGATGATTTTCCAAGCTACCAAGTGGCATGTATTCATAAACCAAAAGTCTCTGATCTCCATCTGCGCAGTAACCTATCAAAGTGACAAGATTTGGATGGCGCAGGAGACTCAACATAAGAACCTCCACGATGAATTCCTGGTTCCCTTGAAGCCCATTGAGGTTAAGCTGCTTCACTGCAACAATCTGTACATCAAATTTGATGATTAATGCCACAATCTTAAACATATTTCAGCATGCCCCATCCACTAATCACAGAAGATTGTGATCTTTTTAAGTATATAACATTTATATATGGCAAATACTCAAGCACATTCCTTTTGAACCCTTAATCTCCTGGGAGGTCCGGGTACCACAGGGACGATAATCCTTCCGTAAGATCTTGATTTTATGGTGATAATAAAATGACATTGTAAATAAGGTAAGAATACAACTTACTTTCCCAGATTCCAACCGACCCTTATAAACACTTCCAAATCCACCTTCTCCAATCAAATTAGCATCTTTAAAATTCTGTGTTGCCACAGCAAGCTCACGAAAAGTAAAACCACGTGCCACATTACCCCTCTGACTATTGAACCTCTTCTCCCTCATAGAATCTGCCAACTTCCCATCTACACACCAACAGAAGAAATTCCAACCAAATCACATTATTCAAGAAACAGTAAGAAGATTCTCCATCAAGATCTATATACTTTGATAAGCTTACCATTAACATCATTACATGGATTTCCCCTCCCATCAACTGCAAATGCCAAAAACCATGAAGAAATCAAAGCAAAGCATAATTCATGAAGTGTAATAGATAATTCACAATCAATATAACAAAGACAACGAAAAGCCAGCCATCAAACCTGCAAATTCATCGGCTGCCATATTGCCATCATAATTTTCAACATCTTTCGGGAAACAATTTATGCAAGAAAAGCACCTCATCTGCGCAAATCAATTCCTACCAGTAATAGCTTTATCACAGACACAGAGATCCTTCAAAAGGGATTCAGAAATACATATACAGCAAATCAACGAATCAAAAACCCTAATCGAGTAGACAAGAACTAAAACCCGAACCCCAGTTCAATGGAAACGGACAAGGGTTTCTTCCAAAGTACGAAGAATCCAAAAATCTTCATGTAATAAGACATCCAACAAATCAACGCGGCATTTCCGAAAATTTCAGCAAATTATAACTAAATGTCGAAATTGCTGGCACAAAACAACAAAAATTAAACATTAAACAAAATGGAAACAGAAAACAACAAAAGAAATTCAATAAATTAAGGTATAAAGTAGTTGTGATTGCTTGGAATTCAGCAGCAGAAATTGAACCCAGCCTTTGTATCTGGTGAATTCGGCTCTCCCCTCTTTTAGCGCCTTTCTCTCTGTGTGTGTGTATGTGTATGTGTGTGTATATATATATATATACACACACACACATGTAGAATCGAATATGTATAAAGATGACGTGTCAAATCCGTCGTAATAAAGTGCCGTAATAAATGATGCCCGTTTGTCCATTCTACATGTTTTCAAAATAGTTATCGTATTAAATTATAACCATGTAATAAAATTATGTATAAATAATTAGAATTTTATCCGTACAATACATCATAATACATTTAAATTTAATACGTTTTAATTTCTGTTTTTTTTTAATTTTTTTTAGGTTTTATGTAATTTTAAAAAATGAAAGAGTTTTTGGTTATTATCAGTATTATACAGTATTTTGATATGTTAATATAACTTAACATTTATCTTGTATTTGAACATTTTTTCAGTTGTCTATTAATTTTATGGAGTACAATGTGTAAGTATACACTTTGTTAATCAATTTTGAACATGTTTATCAATTTGTTATTAATGAGTTTTATCTATACTATATTATAAAATATTTAGAAAAAAAAAACTCTTAAAAATCATTTTTTATGCATGAAGTATTGTTTATTAATGTATATCACTTCAAAATTCAACATTACAAGTAGATTGTACGTAAGTATAACTTATTAAAGCTTTATGTTTGAATTCGTATAACTAACTGCAGATAAACATAATTAAATAGAGGATAAATATCTTATTTTAAATATAAAATATCTAAAATATAATTAGAATGACCATTGAGTTCTAACAAAATATTTAATTATTTTTTTTATAAAAAATTATATTATTAAACATAAAATAAGAAAAATGAATTAAAGAAATAAAAAAAAAAGAAATTAATATATATATTTTTAAAATTTTTATGATATATTTTTATATTTATATTTTAAAACAAAAGTGAAATGGCCAAAATAAATGCTTATTAATTGGTTGAAGGTCGTTCTCAGTGGCGCTTTAAAGACCTCCATGGCATCCCTTCATTTATATATACGTTTCGGTTCCAGCAGGGCAGACTAAAAAGCCACACTTTTCAAATTACCTTATTACCCTTGGCTTCTCTTATAATTACTTTTTTGCCCCCCATGGTTCCTTTCGTTTGAATTCTCGAGTCTTATCCGGTAAGAGGCATATTAATGATTGAGAGTCTTAACCGGTAAGTAAGTGATGAGATTTTTATCCGGTAAACGTTGGGTAAGAAACATTTACCAACAATTTATTATGATTTATGATGATCGAAAATATTACACGATAAGGTAAGTGAAGGTGAGGCTCTTGCCAGTAAATACTTACCTGATAAATATTGGTAAAAAGACCACTAAATTTATGAAACCAACCAAAAATAATTATATTATTATTATTATTTTTATATTTATTTTTAGAAGAAAAAAAATGGTAAATTTAACTATAACCCTAAAAAAAATTATTAACTTGGATATCCAACCCGTTATGCGAGCCGACTATTCCTAGGGTAACCATCTGCTTTGCAGATAGCCCAGAGTCAGGCCCGTTTCTGACATTTTTTATACCCTGGGCGAGATGTAAAAAAATGCCCTCGATAAGTACGATATTTTTTCAATATATTGTTTTTATCATCAGAATTAACATTGAATTCATATAAAACCATTTTTCCGAGTATTCCTGAACGCTGAATCAATCAATACTCATTTCTAATTTGTTTCATCATCAAAAACATCATATGATATACTTTTGGTACATAGAATGATATCATTTGGAATCACAAAGTCGATTCTTCTGATTTCCGAATGACACTATGTAAATCAATGTAAAAATGTTGATTTTCCATGTCATCTCATGTTAATGTTTTTTAACATCTTTTTGAACTTTTATATTATGTTTTCGAATTTGGGAAGATTAACACCATTTTAAACTTTTATATTATGTTTTCGAATTTGGGAAGATTAACATCATTTTAAACTTTTATATTATGTTTTCGAATTTGGGAAAATTAACACAATTTTAAACTTTTATACTATATTTTCGAATTTGAGAAGATTAACACCATTTTAAACTTTTATATTATGTTTTCGAATTTTGGAAGGAAAGAAAGAATGAGAAAGGAAAAGAAAATAAAAGGAAACAAGAAAAATAAAGTTTTTTATTTGTGTTTTTAATAAAGAAGAGAGAGGAATGAAAAATAATGAAATAAAAATAAATTTTTATATAATTTTTTTTTCTTTTCCTTTCCCTAAAAAAATCTCGAGAACATAATATTTTTCTTCCCCCATTACTTTCCTCTCTTTCTTACGTAAAAGAAGACCCAATAACATAGAGTTAGGGTTAAAACAAACTTTTATGGAATCATCGATTATATAAATTAAAAAAACTCATATTTGTGATAGTTTGAGATCTTATTCTTCTTTTAGAGATAGAATGGTACATAAGATTTATACACTAAATATTAGATAATAAAGAACAAATATGAAAAAACAATTATAGTTTTATTATTCTAAATATAAATATAAGTTGTACCGTCTTATATGGTTGGTAATTTTTTTTTTCCAAAAACGGGGTTTTTGTTACCTAATAACAAAAAAATCTATCATATTCTAATATAAAAATAGAATTCACGCGAGAATGAAACAATCAAAAGATCGATGGGAGATAAATTAAGGAGAATATATCAAAGTTTTCTAAACAAGTAGTTTTAGACGTCGGTTTTAGATTAAAAAACTTAGAAAAACATTAAATGATATTATATAATGAACGACAGATTAATATTTTTATGTGTTTTTTTCTTCAATATATTTAATTCATACATGTTTGGATCTTTAATAGTTAATGTAGTACAAAAATATTTTCTTGTCATATTAGATACTAATTTTTTATGTGTCTTCTATTTACTAATTTTTTTGAACTACTATTATATATATTTAAAAAAATTGGGCCCCTAATTTTTATGGGCCCCGGGCGTACGCCCGGCCCGCCCTCCCGCAGGGACGGCCCTGTCTGAAGTCACCGCATTTGAACCTCCGTGGCCACAATGGGATTTTTATTCCTCTTTGGATTTGAACTTGTAACCTCCTGGTACTTTTGACCATTGGAGCCAAGCTCAAACCAATCAGGCAACACCCCTTGTGGTTTATAGCCCTAAATCTTCCCCTATGGTTTGTTAAAATTGAGATTTTTGTTCTTGTGCTTTTGATATTACAGTTTCGGTCTCTGTAGTTTGCTATTTATTGTGGTTCTCGTTTCGAGACTAACTCTCAATCAATGGTTTATCAAACAACATTTAAGCGTAAACCATAAGAATGAAAACTGTAATTTCAAAAACACGAAGACAAAAATAATAATTTTCGATAACCCACAATGACGGAAAACGTAGTTTAATATGCTCCACCCAATTTAAAACGATTCTTAAATGCTATTCTGCTTTGACTACAAGTGTAATCGTTGATTCTTATAGATTTTTCTACAAGTGGTTATCATAGTGAAGTTTTATAAATATTCTTATAATTTATCGAATAAAAAATACAATTAAAAAAAAGATTTAATCTTTCCATCGTAGATACTTTTTCTGTTATCCGGAAAAAAAATCGTTAATAATTAATTTGTAAAAAAAGAGAATATAAATTAGTTAAAACTTCCTCCAAACACTTTAATTTAAAAGTGTGTAGACCAAGATGGGATATACTTTGACAAACATTGTTCAAATTTGAATAAAAGTTTATTATTTTTTATATCTTTATTAAATGTCAATTTGCTTTAAAAGGAACCAAGTAATCCAAATTTTTATTATATAAATAAATTCAATTTAAATTTTAATATATGAAAAGTTGATTAAATAATTTTTTTAACAAATTCAGTAAATCAAACGCCGGCATCTAGGGGTCATGGATCGATTACAGAACCTTGTTCAATAAGTGGAACGCAGTAGCTGTTCGTTGTTAGGTATTTATTTCTTGTTAAGATGCAAATATTGTAGAGTGTAGACAATGTAGAAAAAAGGTTGATATATATTTATATATATATGCATTTTAGTTTATGGGTTGGGTTCTAGTGATAAGGGACGTTACGACGAGAAACGTAAGAATAGAATATCACCCTTGAATGAATCATAATTGAATGTCAACACTAATGAGGTGCATCGGATCAATTCTCTTCTAAAGTGCAATCCATTGGTGGATATGAGATTAAAAGTGATCAAGACTTCAAATCTCTTCTTACGCTTTTCATCATAACTACGTTTCTCACACGATACTTTGCCTTAGTTTAATTTTCGTATTCAGTTGAATTGTTTTAGTGTTAGTTTTTTCAAATTCGAAATGATTTTTGTATCGTAGTGCAAAGGGAAAAACAATATCTTAAAAGTAGGCTTCTTATGCTTTCCCTCTAAACAATTTGAAAATTGAGGAAGTTATATGTACACAATACTAACATGTTTTATTAAATAATGTATTTTTAATTTAAAAACCCATATGTATTTAAATAATAAGGCAGTTCAAAATGCATTATATATATATATATAGAGAGAGAGGTTCAAACGAGAACACCTATGATTTACGAGAATGCGAGAACAACCCAATAACCACAWATTGTGATAAAAAATAAAATTAAAAGATTTTTAAAATTAAAATTGAAGAAAAAGATTCAAAAAAATTTAAAAGTAAAAGGGTAATAATGGAAATGATATCTCAAATATTTACAACACGATCATTATCTTTTAAACACGATCATTATTATCATTAGGCTTATCATTATCTAGTAAACGGTTATGAATTCAATGAGACTCATAACTTCAAATCGCAAAACAACCGACGGAAGCAAACATTAATCGACGGTGTTCGACGTAACCCTAATCGACCAATAACCCTAATCGAGAAGCCATTGCATGCAACAAGCGGACAAATTCAAAGTATCTTTCAAAATTACTCGTTTTGAATAAGTTTTTAATCGATTAGTTGTGATACTCATGTGATATCAATGTCACTCKATTTCATTATGGTTTCAATTGGTTATGTTAGACATTGTCACAACGATTTCGAATGGCTTCGATAGGTTAGGATTATATTATGTGTGATAATCATGTGATATGGGTGTGATAATCACGTGATAGGGGTGTGATAATCACCATTATACATCATTTGGGTTATCGTTTTGGTTGATAAGTTAAAATTTTGGTGTAATCATGTGATATGGGTGTGATAATCATGTGATATGGGTGTGATAATCATGTGATAGGGGTGTGATAATCACCATTATACATCACTTGGGTTATCGTTTTGGTTGATAAGTTAAAATTTTGGTCTAATTATGTAATATAGGTGTGATAATCATGTGATATGGGTGTGATAATCGTTTTAGATAGACAAAAATATGGATACAAACGATATGAAGAAAAGATGTTAAGCCATCGACTATCTGGAGATTATGATGAACGAGAAGAAGCATGAACGAGAACGAGAAGAAGCATGAACGAAGGAGAAGAAGCATGAACGAAGGAGAAGAAGAAAACTAACAAGAGTAAAACGTGGAAACGTGAAAGGATAATTATGGTTAATTAAAATAAAATAAAAATTATAAAAATTACTTAATTACATTACTGYCCTTATTAAATTATTTATATATAATAAAAGTTAATTTATTAATTAAAAAAGTTTGAGGTTATTGGATTGTTCTCACGTTCTCGTAAATCATAGGTGTTCTCGTTTGAATCTTCACCCATATATATATATATATATATATATATATATATATATATATGTTTTTTTTATTAACCAGAATATCCAACCCGCTATGCGAGCCGACTAATCCCAGGGCGGCCACCTGCTTTACAGATAGACTAGAGTCACCGCATTTGAACCTCCGTGGCCACAAGGGGATTTTTATTTCTCATTGGATTTGAACCTGGAACCTCCTAATACTTTTGACCTTTGGAGCCAAGCTCAAACCAATCAGACACCACCCTTGTGGTTCAAAATGCATAATATTTTAAGCACAGAGTGTCTATTATATACCCTAAATACCTTTCTAAAAAGTATATGCCCGGTCATATGATTTCGTGGAGTCTTTTTATCTATATAACGATGTACGTAACGCTACTACTTTTTAAGTTCAAGTAATGTTACAACATCAAAATAACATTTTGAAAACCCGACCCAAACGAGACAAGGTACGGGGGTTCAGTTTCATACTCAATTAAGTTGTTTAATTTAGTTATATCATACATGTATGTGCGCCTAGACTAATCTTAATGACCGTCTGTCTTTGTACTGAACAAAGCTGCTGCTCCACAAAATAAGGTTAAATTATATAGAAAAAACAATATAACCCACAAAAATACCTAAAAACAATGCGTCCTATGTTTATTTCTTCCAATTCTTCAGGTTCATCCTACTCCGATCAATCTTGAATCCAAGGTTACAAAGAGATCGTTCAATATTTTAGGCTTTCAAACCCGAAAAACAAGAAAAATATAGTTACAGTTAATCTGTACACAGCAGTTTCCAGCCATTGGCATCTGTTGCAAATGTAGTAGTACCAAGATACCACCTCCCTCCCCTCAACTCAAGCCTCACCTGTTCCACTGCCAACATACAACAAGGGTCAGTCAGTACAGAATCAGAGCTGCAATGCTAAATCTGGCTGCTGAGCTGAAGGTGAACCCATCCTCAGTCCAACAGAACCTGGTGCTGGTGGTGACCCATTTAGATCAGGTGGAATTGGAACTGTAAACGGTGGTCTATGGTTCGATGACGATACCTGCTGCCAAGATGCTTTTCCGCCATTACCACCCATTTCACCACCAATTGTCGCCTTCTGTCCATCCGACTCTAAACCAAACATTCCCATTTTGGAAACATTTGCACCATTCAAACCATTTCTACCATGGTTGGGTGGAAGTTTATTGGCTTTTAGTGCAGAAACTTCAATCTTTGGTTCACTCGTTTCAGCCTCGGCAATAACATTCTTTGGACCTGAAGTTGATGGGGGTTCTGGTTTGTTTAGAACATCGTCGCTGGCTAATCTGGGGGTATAACTTTGATTCCCGGATGGGAAAAATGACGTAGGTGGAGGAGAAGGTTCGGGTTCACCAACCACACCAGGAGCAAACGTCACACCAGGAGGTAAAACTTTCTCGATCTTTTTCGAAGCAATTTTCCACACAACAGGGCCCATATTAGCAGCAAATCGAGCTAGGCTTCTAGCATAACCATGCTCAGCATGAAGTCCTACCTGAAGTAAGAAAATTCCATTCTATTATTAATTTTAAATTTAAACTCTAATTAAGCCCTAGTCAAATGTTACAATTTTCATGGGATGAAGTATTTGTTTTAGCATTAGATGTTATAACTTGATGGTTAAGCTTAAAAAGCATCAAAAGGTTGCAGGTCGCTTTCCGTTCTACAAAAATTCCACTTCTTTTTTCCAAATGGCCCATGAAAGTCCAACATTTCCTTTCCAATTGAATTTTTAATCTACAATTACTAGCTTGCACAATGACATTCACTACAAATAACATGATTTAATTTGTTATATAAGAACACCTATTATGTCATCAATATTCGGTTGATGGCCAAATATTGTCTCTTAACCTTTGGCCAAACATTGAGGTTTTCATGAGAGGGAGTAACTGTAGGTACACGAACTAAAATTATGTTAAAAGTTTGGAACAACGTACCGCTACTAACTGCTTCCTTTCCCCGCCAAAGTTGGATAGCAGAGAATGATTGTGACCATAGTTTGAAGGATGAAACTGCTTGTATGTATCACGCCTGGTCTCGTCTATATTAAAATGTTTGTTGCCGTATTTCATGTCAGCCCTCTTAATTTGAGCTGCAGGTTTGAAACAACAGATTAGGAACGTAAAAGAATGATAATCACTTGGTGCTGGATAGATTGTTGTGACATATACTATCGCTTGTAGTTTCTAATCTTTATTTTGGGATGCTCCAGTTTAAATGCAACATTTATGTTTTTGGAAAGTTACAGAAGTACAATCCATTTACGAAGATACTAGTGGCATACTTTTAGTTCAGAATAATTTAAAATTTTCAAGTGAAGTCAGAACATTGATGTGCATCCATCAAACCAACATTTCGGTCAAATACAATTATGGGTATTTGATGACAACATAGATAGAGATGATCACTGAACTTTTATGGGTTTTCCAATTTAGGTACCCTAAAAAGATTATGAATCACATACTTCAATTCTCAGTCTTAACCATATCATTTACAATCTTTATGTCTATACCATCCAAATTAACACAATTTAAGTCAAAATCGAGGAAGTTTAGGCAACCAATGAGAGAAGGTTATTGACGTTGAACCAAAGTTGTTAAAGGCTCAAGGCGCACTTAGGCGTAAAGGGGTCCCGGGGCCTAGGCGCAAAGCGCAGGCATGAGGCGCGGGCCTCAGGAATCTGAGGCGCATCTAAAAAAGTGTACACATATATACACCCACAGTTGCACACAACTCAAATATGTTGCAAGTACAGGCCTCTGGTGCAACAACCAACAGTACTTTGATAGAGGCATAAGGGGGAAGGGTTTAAAGCGTGTGCCGTGAGGAAGAAGTTTTAAGGTATGGGTCTTTATAGAGAAAGAGGCTTGAAGTTATAAGAACTGGCCAACTGGGTGTTTAATATCAGGGTCTGACTTATTTAATCTATTTAATAACTCTAGGAGATAAGAAGATGAGAAAACTTATTTAATATTAGGTTTGAATAGGTATTTAATAACTCTTCTTGAGGCGTGTGTAGGCCCACAAGGCGTAGGGCCTTAGTGAGCCTCATGAATAAGCCTAGCCTCGACTTTAAAAAAAACCCAAGACCTTGAGCGTTATGAGCCTCAGAGCCTAGGCGTGCCTCAAGCGCGCTTTTAACAACTGTGTGTTGACTAAAGCATAGGGCACCAACTATTGAGCATGTAGATATGTTAGATCTCAACTCAATTTAAGGAGATGATGCATTTGATATGATTGTAAGAATCCAAGTATTTGATTGGTGAAAAGAAATTACTGAGGTATGCAAGTCAAAATCCATTATAGTGCTGAAAACTTTGCATACTTTTTCAGTATTTGGTTGATAGTAATAAGCTTTAATTATGAAAAGATCAAATATGAGATGGAGGGGGTGTATTTGAAGCTCTTTACCATTTTTATCTACAAAGAACACATGGAAAGAGGATCTAAGGTGTTAAAAGTGATAAAATACAGTTAAAAGGAACCTGGAAACTCTTCATTCCAATCTGATAAAAGTTCAGAGTGTTGTTCGCCATTGCGAGAACGATGCGATGGATGTGAACCATCAGCCTGATGCTTATACACCATGGGTCCTCTTCTTAAATTGTAAGGAGTAGACTCATTTGGGTTGTCTATAGCAGTTGCTAGAGTGGCACCTGAGGTAGATTCGGGACCAACAACGTCCAAAGGGGGTCTGCCAGGTGGCTTTTTCAGGTGCTTACTTGGAGGCCTACCTCTTTTCACTACCTTCGGTTGCAGCTCACCATCGTCACCCTCTTGCCTCAAGTTCTCAAAATCCCTTTTTGCCAACTCTTGTATAGATCTCGCCTAAAAGAACAGAAAATCAAAAGCGGAAAAGGGTTTTTATATAGAAATCATAGTTCAGAAACAAGGCAAAGCCTACCTGCCGAAAGAAAACAGTATCGGATGGGTTATACTGCATCGCATTAGAACATATCAAGTACACATCTGCCTGCATACATCAAGTGAAAACAAATTCATGAAATCAAGGTGCTGCAAATGCATGTAATAAAGAAGAAAGAACAGACAAAAGCGAACAAATAAGAAAAAATTGTCTGGAATACGAAGTTAATGAGCAGTATGTGAGCTTATTCCTTCCTTCCACAAACATATACAAGATACAGATATTACTGAAATTGATCTTTCCAAAATGGGTCCAAGTTTGAGCCACCCAACAAAACTTTAGAATGATGGATTCTTTTTTTCTTCTATTGGCACTTCCCTGCAGTTGCAACCTCCAGATAACCTAGCATCTCCTAAGTCCTAACATGCACTAAAGATCGTATCTTTAAGAATCATTTGCCGATTGCAATCCAAGTTGATGGAGGCAATTGATAAATTATTCATTACAAAGAAAACAAGATAAATAAAGAAAAAAGAGGTGGCAGTAAATTAGGCAAGCATAAAGATAGAAAGTGGCCTGCAAATTCTTTTTACAAATATGACAAAATAGTGCAAAAAGTGACAACCTTATATGCAAATGCTAAAAGCAAGATAAGATCCTCATTACTGGATACCGAGGAAAGAAATGCAGGGGTGAACAGTAACAAACTGAAACCCTTCTTTGAAACGGTATCTAAATTAATGCCGCATTTCTGTAATATTTTATCTTACTTCCTGAGTTCGATATAGAAAGAGAATAACTGGACTTGAAGTTACTAGAAATTTTAGATCTTGCAATATTGCACTTCTATATGTACAAGAAAATTTGAGCAAGAAAATGAAGAAAAATAACACAAAGAAAACCAGAAGTAAAAAAATGCGGAAACCACGTTTGGGTAAAAATGAAATGTTTAGGCATTAACGTAGATCTCCTCCATGCAATGCCGTCTGTCCGGTAAACAGCTTAAGAATGCTCAAATCGAGTAAACGTATAATGAAGCTTGCTAGAGGAATACCAACGTACTGCATGCCAGTTCAGATGTCATGTTCCAGAAGTGTCTTGACTGCATTATGCATTAATTACAAAATGCAGTGTCGCACGAATACAAGCATGAAGCAGAAGAGAAATGAGAATTTATAACGTTGAGGTTGATCAGAAGACAACGTAAATTTTCTGATAAGGGAGTCTCAATTATGGTAGCAGGACAACATGCAAAGGATGAAGTACAATCTCATAAGTTAATAAATGTTGCCTTCTCATAAGTTAATAGTACACAGGCATCCAAATGTTCAAGCATAAACAACAATGACCAACCTCCAGTTCTTCCAGATTCGAATAAAGTCCCTTGTCAAGTTTGCTCCTGACAGTGCCAAAATCCATGGGTTGGTCGATTATTTCATGGTAATCAGGGAGCTATACAAACAAAATTACCATATCAGTGGAGAACTGTAATGAACATTCTAGGTCAGTAACACAAACTTCCCAACCAATCACCTCATTGGGATCAACCGGCTCGGAGAATACCCCATGAGTGTCCTTCCTGCAGATGAATCCCATTATAGCTATCGTAAACAATGAACTGGATGATAAGAAATAAGATATCTTTTCAATGAGGCAAAAGAAAAGAAGACACACTTTTGAAGTCTGTCAAGAATGAACACCAACAACTTTTTGTCTGGCAAAGGTGTTGTGGGTCCGGCCTCCAATGGTGATGCTGCCCACATATTAAATGGAAACATCAAGAAAACGAAGACCAAAAAAATTAAATTCTGGGAATTTCCCAACACATGTTGCCTTCTATTTAAGAAAAGAACAAAAGGGTTTTTGATTAAGACCATGCAGAGTGTCCATCGCTTTCGGAACCTTTCCCCCCTACAAACATAAATTCACCACTCATCGTTAAACAAAGAAAAATTAATCAGATAACTCGATATACATCAAAGGCTCATCAGCAGCAAAACAGCCACGGTAAAAGGGTCAGTCAAAGTCACAGGTAGTATGAGGAAGCAAGATAAGAGAACAACCACCAGCCAAATGGCAAGTACAGGTGAACCAAAAGAATAACAGAGAACAATAACCATTAAATAAGAGACAAATTGGAACTTTTTACAAAACATGATGGCAGATGTTTCTTTTTGTTGTACATATAAATAATACAGAATGGACTGATTAACCAGAAACAATCAATCAACAATAAAGTAACAAAATTAACCATTTTATTTTCAGAAACAGAAAATTGAAAAATAAAAAGCCTTCAGATTTCATAAAACCCAAAAGGAGAAAATAAATAAATATAACACTTTACATACATCCACACATATATTTCAGATTTTATAGTTACCGCACTATTTACCACAAACGAGACTTGACCAAGTCAAAACAAATACAGTGACCTCCGAATTCCGATCGCAGAAGAAAAAAGAAAAAAGGACCCCCGAATCACGCGCGAAAATCCCAGAGAAAATATCAGAGATTTAAAAAAACACAACTGAAAAAAATGCATCTTTCCCTCGATTTTGCCAGATTCGAATTTTTGATACTTTCTCAAACCCCATTATTTACTGATTTCCCTCAATTTTACTAATTTGAAGTAACGGACATGATAATGTAACAATTTCAAAAAGGAACCACTAAACCCTAAATATTAAGACTTTAATTAAAAATATTACCTGATGCTGATTGGGAATACCACCAGATCCGGAGTTAATTTTGCGATTATCAACATCAGCATTCGAATCAGAACCACCAGACACCGAATTAACCGATGAAGATCGAACTAAATCCGATGACAAATGTCTTTCTTGATTCAATTGGGGCAAACGAACAACGAGCTTGACTTTCTTCTCTTTCCTCTCATCATCGTCGTCGTCTTCGTAGTACTCATCTTCATCAACAGATGCATCATCTACAGCAGCCACGGAGTTAGGGTTCCGGCGAGCGGATCTCCGTTGTGACTGTTGGTGATTTTCCAATTCTTGTTGCTCTAGTGCTCGTTTTTTGAGATCTACGAGCGATGGACGGCCTTTTTTCTTCTTCGCCGTCGTTGCCCCTCCGACCTTACCCATCTCTTTCTCTTCTCTCTCTCTCTCTCTCTGCACCCACTGTCTCTCTCTCTCTATACTTCTCTCTCCCCTCAAAGAGGCGTTAAACGAATTTTTGTTTTCTCGTTATTATTTTTTGTGAAATTTTTTATTTGTCCCCTTAACTTCATAAAGTATTACATTTTACTCCCCTATGTAACAGAACATATATGCAAACCCTAAATATTTTCTTTAACCACGATGCTCCGACTTCCGACCAACTTATCTGCATTTCGATTAATTTTATGGGATTCTAAAATTAAAACTCGGACAAACCCTCCAACGACCATACCAGGACTTGAATTGATGAACACTGAGAAACATACCTAAGATCTCACTAGTTGACTTACCTCAAATGGCTACAAACCCTAAATTACGGCTTTTAAAGCATCTCTGACATATTTTATAAAACAGAAAAAGTAAAGGTTTTTGGTGATATCGGTTGGAGAACTGAAATGCTCTTAAACCGAGTCATACATGTTTCTAGTGAAACAACACTCGTGTTTTGAACCCAATAAGTTCAAGTACAGTTTTTTATATACTTATATCCGATTAGCTTTTATTATTTCTCTTGTATAATGTAACAAGTACTATGAGGGGGTAAAGTGTCATTTATTAATATGTTAGGGTGTATAGAGTAAGGCTGCCTTCACATTTAAGGGGGGCAAATTGGAAATTCCATCTTTGTACATGAGAGGAAGTCACATGAATGATGAACTTATGTCTTTAGGTCCATGAGAATAGTATTTGTATATCTTGTTTGGTGATTGATTTGGTCCAAACTACCACAAATGAGATTTTTATGTCTCAATGCCACTTTTTTTTTCTTTTCTTATCCTTAACTATGTTGAGTGTTTCTGGAGAACAAGCGGGAAAATTTTCAGTAACGATTTATATAGGTGACTGTTAAAGTTTACTGTTTCAATGTCTTTAAAAATGGAAGAGAGTCGGTTTTTCTTTTTCCAAATTTGAAAAACTTCGAATTAAATGAAGAAGTAAAGATAACGACTAATTTATAACGGGAAACTCCACATCTACCGACAGAATTAAATGGAGAAAAAGAGACAGAATTTTTATTAATTATTGAATATTAAAAGTACACTTGCATGATGCACGGTGATGTATCTTGATTTTGAATATGAAAAATTAAATTATTTTATTTCTTTTTTTTGTGTCTGAAACAACAAAAATGAGATTTTTTTAAGTTTTTATGTTTATTTTTTCCTTCGACATTTTCTCTGCGACGAAGAAAATTTAGAGAATCTTTTAAAATAAAATGAAATGATAATATGAGATTTCAAAAGCTCTTTGAGATTTTTTATTTTTATTGTATTAAAAAAGAGTAAAATAGAAAATTTAAAAAATTTTGGAAAAAATTTAAACCTAATGTTTTAATTGTTATATTATTAAAATTAAGGATTTTTAA